TCTCTGTTTCACATGTTCCAATCCCATGCGGGGATAGTTATGTGCGAGAGGATTGCAGCTCTACTCCCACCGAGGGTGGTTCACATGACCGCTGATCGGTTACGATCATCCCCCACCATCCAAGTCCATGCTTCTGAAAACAAATAAATTTGTGAATGCGCACAGTACACCGATTTGTCTAATGTTTTGATTCCATAGGCAGGAGGTTGTGGATCGGCGCTGCATATTACGTGTTTCACATGAATCCATCGTGCTCAGATTCGACTGTTTTCAAGGTCTGAAGGCTCCAACTGCCTAATTTTATCGGTACACAAGAGAATTTTCAGTGTGGCATGCATGGGTCAGTTGGAGTCACTAACCTCAAGATATCTATGAGCAAGGATAAGATAACCTTGAAGTGACATTCCATAATTTAGAGTAAAAAATGTATCTGCCTCCACAGCCCTTTCAAATGGAAGATATGATACCTCGGGGGTAATTTCTATCAAATATTTTACAGTATTATGGTTCTAGTGAAAAGAGTTGTAGGCGGCTTCTTTTAAAGTGTGGTAGCGCAGTGGCGGCGCGTGGTCATTTTGACAACCGGGGCAAGCTACTGCGGGACCAAGTCACCTCCATCTACGGGGACAGAATGAGCGCTGTAAGTTCTCCCATCATTTTATGAGTATAAAAACCATTCCATCGGTAACAACCAATCGGCAAAAGCGACAATTTTTAACGATAAGAAAGTGTCTTTAAAACCGGTCCAAGTCAAGGGATTAATAAATATAGACATAGTTTATTTTGAAACCTCTTTCAAAAGGAAAGGCAATATTTACCCAGATAAATACAATGACATATTAACAGAAACTTCGGGAAAGCAGACAAAACCTAAAATATGGTTTCAAACGTTACTATGAAGAGAGGAAAGGTAATGCAAAGATAAGGACATGCGTCGCTCACTCATAGATATATATGCTGCTAGACTTCTACTGCTTGAACATATATGCAACACACCGCGGTTTCTTGGAAGCAAAATGCTCAATAACGCGCTGATTAAAGTCATGCATCCCAGAAAAAACGTCTCTATGAATGGATAAAACAGCCAAGGAATTTAATCTATCTTGCTTCATTGTGTTTCTGAGATACGTTTTAATACGCTTCAGCGAGCTGAATGTTCGCTCTGCGTCGGCGGAAGAAATAGGCGTCGTCAAAATGGTGTCCAGAAATTTTGCAGACGCCGCAAAGGTAGTTACTAGAGTGTTATCTATGAGGAACCCATAGAGCGCGCAAGTTGATGTGATGTTCAAAAAAGTTTGATTGGTGTATATACATCGCAATTCATTTTCCAATCTACCCACGTTTATCATGGGGTAAAATTTTGAGAGACAGTAGCCAACAAATGGATGGGAAATTGACGTGCAAATTTTGAAAATTTTTTTGGGTTCATCAAAGAGAACGCGGCAAGGTGTTCAGTGCGCAGACGATCGCCTATTTGATTCACCAGAATGTCACAGCATTCCTTTGCAGACAAAATCAAACGCTGCGTTGTTTGCCCGCGGCGTAAAGAAGCACTCCATGTGTCGTCGTATTTTATTGTTTCCCGGATACGAGATACAGCATCGCAGAAGTCTGAAATACACGACTGCACAGACGCTCCATCCATTAGCCTTGACTGCAATGCGCCGTATAATACATCCACGTGATAGAATATTGTGGAGAAAAAAAGCGAGAAAAAATGAAAACTCACCATCTTTTAGCAGAAGCTTTAGACCTGCCGCCTCCCTCACAGAGCGTTCGTCCCAAACCGGAGAGCTCTGAATGCCATTGAAACACCCAATGAGCCCAGACCTAATTTCGGACACGCCCTGCACCACGCGTGAATGGAAGTTCCAACGTGTTGGTGCACAAGCTGGGAGACGGCGGCTACATATCTGGCGAAGGAGGTCAGAGCGCTTCGGCGAAACGGAAAAAAATGAAGAAAACCCCGAAACATTTGCAAAAAATATACGGACGAAAGGGGTATCAAGACACATATATTTAATAACGAGGTTAAATTGGTGTGCATAACAATGTAAAAAATGCGCATGAGAAAAATCTTCTTTTATATAAACTTGAACACCATGTTTCGACCCACTCATGACTGCCGCGCCATCATAAGTTTGAGCTATCAATTTTGACTTCGCGTTGTAAGGCTTTAACACTTCTTTCAGTACAGCCGATATCCCGCATGCCGTGCGAACGATTGGTACAAAGCTGAGAAATCTCTCGGTAGGTTTACCATCTTTCACAAACCGAAAAACCACAGCCAGTTGGGAAACGCACGTGATGTCAGTTTTCTCGTCAGACTGAATCGAAAGGAACTGGCAATTCTCAATTTCCAGAGCCAAATGTTGTAAATAAATTTTATACATTGAGTCGAGCAAATCATTTTGGATATCCTTAGATGTCCCTTTCGAAACAGTTGCGGCATCAAGATGATCTCTCAATACTGTATCTAGGGATGCGGTGTATTCCACCATATCCAAAAATACCCCTCTATTAGAAGAGCCAGCCCGTTCATCGTGCCCACGAAGGGACAGCTCGTGACAACCAATGAACTTCAAAACATCTATCAATCGACCAAAAACATGGCGGTTTTTCTCGACGTTTTGGTTGTGCCGACGAATAGAAACCGCGCGTCCTTCATCCAACTGTGCTGCAATATTAACATTTCCGAATGTTCGGTATTTTACTGCATTGTCCAGGTGCTCAATAGAAGATTGATGATCCCTGGCACGCTCGGAAAGATGTTTAAGATCTCTAAAACCAAATTTACTCCAACGTGAGTCACGGGCGGTAGCAAAAAGTAGGCAATAAAAACAAAAAAGTGCATTTTTGTCCTCGCTGTAACACAACCATTCGTGTTTTTTATACCAAGTTTCTGCGCAGAATGTACGCCGACGCTTTCCTCCGTCATGGGATTGTTCCAGTGAACAATTTTTTGGTTGATAAGGCCCAAGACGTTGTACCTCTAATTTTTGTTCCAGCGGCAGCTGCGAAAACGGAGTGCGAAGTAGTGCATCAACCTTATTCATTATGAGGTCTAAGGCTAAGAAATGCGAAGCCGGAAAGAAGTGAGGAGCTCAAAAGGAATGTGGAAAATCGAAAGCAAATGGACTAAAGGTCTCTAACTGATTCAAATAGCAAAACAAGCGACAAAAACGAAGGCGAGGAAACTATCAACTCTTCAAGCAACCAACGAACGAGAAGGAATGTGTGAATATATCAACACGTTGTTGTAAGAAACGTCGGCATTGTGTCATCATAATTTCGGGGCTAGCCCCGATCGGCCCCGATGATTTAGTAAAAGAAACAGAAAACAAACGAGACAAACGCGGCGAGTGGAAGATAAAAGAGAGAATACGATATACAATGAGCAACCGGGGCAAAATCGGCGTCGCCCCGTCGACGTTCGGCGAAGGCTTTGCGAGCGAAAAATGAACCATGTCGGGAGAATATGGCTAGTGTAGACAGTCTGTGCAACCGATATTGAGGTATTTTTCGAATCTTTTTTATTATACCAAAAAAACAACCGGGGCGATGCCCCGGTTGGCCTTATTGACGCGCCGCCACTGGTGGTAGGTCTAATCGAAAGACACATTAAATGTTTATGCTAACAACTGCAAAGTAATATTGCAACGCATACAAGTTAACAGAATTTGTTGAAATGGTCCTGCCTTTTGCCTTTCTTCAAAATCCCCCTTTTTCCAACTATTCTCTTCCTCTCTGGGGATGGCAAAAATTCAAATATCGATGGGACATAAGCAGCTGATAATGGGTTATCTTTCCTTTTTCCTGAAAACAAATTAAACACTAATTAATCATCATTTGACAAGTTTGTGATTCAGATCAGTAATAATTTACTTGCTAACTAACAAAACAATCAGACAACACTTTCTGACCATTAATGAAGATTTCTTTCAATTTAAAACGCAAATATGCCTACCAATGTGGGTAGTTTTTAGGATAGGATTTATCTGTGGTTGGGGACAGATTGTAGGTGCAACATCGTATGATTACCATTCTATGTCGGGATTAATTAGCCAGGTATTTGTTTTAGAAGCATGGACTTGATGGTGGGGGATGTCATAATCGACCAGCGGTCGTGTGAACCACCCTCAGTGGGAGGAGAGCTGCAATCCTCTCGCACATAACTATTCCTGTCTGGGATTGGAACCTGTGAAACTCCCAGGGAGATCAGAGATGCGGTGGCGAGCGTATTCCTAGATGGAGAATTTAATTGAATTCTGGTTATTTTTTTGCATGAGCACTGGCGTTAAACTTTAGTTATCTATTCAACTTTACACACTTACTAATAGATTACATGCTAACTAGGGAAACAATACCTTATGGCAAATATTGATTAATTCCTTACTCAAGTCAAGTCTGCAAGTAGGCCTATGGGTAGGCCTAGACGTAGGCCTACCAATAACAGTAGTTTGTCATCTGCTTTCCATTGAAATGAGGGAGCTTATGAATATTTAAAAAAATTGATAACGGCACATTATCACATCAACGAAGTGCTGTCTGCAAACAGTGAAACACAAGTGAGATGGTTTCTGGACTTGACACCAAGCAGTCCTGCCAATAGATGATATCCACTTTGCGCGACGTTCCGGATCTTTTGAAAACAGTGGAATATAACTGAAGATTCATTTCGTTGTCTATACTATACGTACAGCAAGCAGAACAATATGAAATAACTCTTTTCAACAGCCAAACAAAACGAAAAAGTGTAATCCGACTTGCAACCGACAGGAGCCAAATGGACGTTTTTGTTTTATTGCCGTCCAGTAAACAAGGTCACGTGACCCGTGCAAGTCCTCTATATTTCTGCGGTAGTGCGGTTCAAGCAAACGCCATTTTGTGTCCAAGAGTTCTATCGCTGTATGATCATAACTAAGTGATTTTAAACCTGCGATCGTTAAACAGTTGAAATATAAAAAAAAGATGCTTAATTCGGAGCAAACTATCGCAGCGGCAAATTTATTTAAATTTCTCAGATATCTCGGCTCGGCGGTATGGTCAGCATATACGAAGTTATGGTTAGGGTCATCCAACTTCACTTGATAAATCGACACCCAATAAGACCAAAAATATTAAACAAAGAGATACACATTTTACTGTAATAATTTCTGATGTAAGTATCGCTAGTTGTACAGAACTTATTTTAACAAACTGACGGAACTACACTACGGGAACTTGCAACTATTTGTTCAACAATGTGTAGGCCTACATTGTTAAAATATGATAAAAAAATATACGACATGCATGAAATGAAGGATATCGGCATATATCGAGGTTGAAAGAACAGAAAGAATTTATTTATTTCGTCAAACCAGAAAACAATAATAATGATACAAAAACAAATAAATTATAAAACAATACATAATGCAATTTTCGTTAAAAAAAAATCTAGTGGATAGTGGTGGAACTAACCAAATTTATTTTTGTGAGCGGAAGTTTTGATATATAGGATGTAATAAATCAAATACTATACATCTTTATATTTCCGTTCAATGTGTGACGCGTAGAGTTTGGTAAAAAATTGTCAAATTAGTTTATCTATTTTATAATAGCACAGTGAAAGTTATATTTATCCCACATTATACAGTACCGCATAAATAGAATTGTGAATAAATTATGGAGTTCCTGCATGTGTGCTCAGTCAGAACAAGTACGATGATGGCAATTTAAATATCACAGTGAATTGAATAATTGATTACACAGTACACAAGAAAATATATGTGAATAGATTATGAAGGTCCAGAATGTGTACACTGAAAAAGTACAAAGATGGCAATTCAAATATCACAGGGAATCAAATAATTCATTATACAGTACTAAATGAAAATATATGCGAATAAATTGTTCTCGTAGTTTGTTGAGGTCGGGGTGCTCATAAATTATGAGACGAAATTAAGTTTGACAGCCACACTGAATTGTGTTGGTTTCGGGTGTTGAACTCCCTTGCCACGAACCTGAAACATAATTAAATATACTACAAACTTCGTTTGCAATGAATTAACATTTCAAATAAGATTTATGTTTCCATTATTACTTGTAAAGATAAATTCTCCAAGGCATCCTGCGTCAGCCTTCCAGCCATGAGAAAAATAACTTCTCCATTTATTACCAGCTTCTGGTGTAGGCGTAAAATTGTAGTCATTGACAATTGCAATTCAGACTGCACAGCGACAAATTTCCATCCAGTCGCGACAAATTTCATATTTTTTACAACATGCAATGCCTGAAATAGTGGTTACAAAAATTTAAATCAACATCATTTTAATGCTTGTCGCTTTGTAGTTTATTCCTCGAAAAAACTCCAAACTGGCAGCATTTATTCTGATCAAACACCAACAAGAAAATACTGGTAAGCACCCTATTTCTAATTCAAAATATTCACCTCAGATAAGAGTTCCAACTTTTTTTCAGAATTGACGAATAGAGTATCTCTCATATGTCTGCAATTGGTTACTGCAAACCAATTATCCACAAATTCACAAAAGAAGGCGGTTGTCAAAGCAGTTTCATTCATAGATTTGTGGGCGACAAGTGCTCTCAATGCCGATGCAGTGCTGTGGCTTAGTCCCTGCAAAAATATAAAACGATGTAAACTGCAGTATCGAAAACCCATCATAAGCATTTAAATTAATATTTACTTACCTGTGATGCAGTGTTCACTCGCATTTTCTCATAGTGTGATAGATTGACATTTTTTCTCGCAAGTTTAGGTGCTAGTTTCAGTTCTTTTCCATCTTGCAACTCTACCAATGCATGGAAAAATTTTGAGGATAGCCTACCTTAAGATAAAGAATGAAATGGATTATTGGACACGTTTAGTGGCCATAACGATCGTTTCAATATTATGTTGTTGGACACGTTTAGTGGCCATAACGATCGTTTCAATATTATGTTGTTGTTATTGTTGTTCTTGTTCTTTGACACGTTTTTAAAAAATCGCTTTTCTCTTCGAATACTGGACCAATTGCTTTGAAATTTTCAGTGGTTAAAGATTAATTTCTTCGCTAGAAGGCTATTACTTTTATTTATTTCAAAATTTTGCGTGAATTCTATGAAATTTAATATTTCGTCTAAAATTTTGCTGTATTATTTTTTATCCATGGGAATACGGGTCATGACTGGCTGTACGTTTTGATTCTGCAAAATTCTTGCTACTGGAAATTCAGAACTTTTTTGAGGGTACCGGTAGCGTCAAAGGTACCGGTAAAGACTGATTCGCTCTGGTCTAATATTTGTGCGTAGCTCTCTTGTATTATATCCTAATTAAACATACGTAATATGGTAACCAAGTACAGACTGAACAAGTTTATATTAATTTAAGAGTTATAAAAACTAGTATTGGCATATTGAATGAAGATTGTGATCCCATAGATATATACATAGGAAGTGTGATTCTCTCTCAAATTTTTCCGCGACGTGTAATGCATTTCTTATGGTATTTGACTGAAATTATTTAACTACGTCAATCGATGAATGATTAGAAGCCAAGTTTTCGTAACGACGCAAAGTACAATTAGGCATTGACGTCAGGCGACGTTGTTCTGCGGAACGTTTTAGATTACGCAATCGCGAATTTTGTCGTTCACAGCTGGAGTTCCGATTATATCAGTATCGTAACATCGGCCGCGGTTTAGGTTAGTAACGTTTCACACCTGCGAGGGAAAGCGATAAATGTTTTTCATAAGGAACACAGAGTTGTTACGTTGCAACACTTTGGTTGCAATATATAAAATACAAGAACAAATCGGAGGTTTTGTTATTCAATTGAGGAGCTTTTCAAAAAAAATTCACGCTTTTTAATTTTGCCGATTTTTGTACGATGATCGCGACATTTTATCTCCATCACATAGTTATAATTAGTCTCATAGATTTTCTCTCAAACAATATAATATAATATAGTGTAATTTTTTAAAATGTGTTTTATATAGGGTCCACCGAAGATACCGTGTTCATGAATTGGAGGAAAAATAAATACTTACTGCGCGATTGAATATGATGACAGATCAAGGGTGGAGATCAAATACTTCACTTAACTTAAACCTTGATTAAGACTAATCTCGGATTAGTTAAACTGGGGTTAACTTCAAAAGTTAACCAGAGATCAAAAACCTAGTTTAGCCGTTACTTAACTTGTTTAAGTCCGACGCCACGAGGCATTTTATCAAAACGTCGTGGCATGTTGCTCTTTGACCCCGTATTCCCATGGCGATGACAACGCGAACCCAATTTTATTGTAATTTGCTGTCTTTGCAAAGCCGGTTTTTGATGTATTTCGTTGATTTTGCCGAAGCAAAACAAGCTGGACGGCAGAACTACAAAGAGCTGACGCGCATTACCCGAAATGTCAAAATAATACCAATTTATCATAAATATAATTCTTCCCACTACCGGTAGTCTAAATTCTAAAAGACCAATTGAATCTAATATTTATCTCTTAAAACCACAGCCGTAACAACAAACGGACAGGAACCACAGAACCAACATATTACTTTAAATATCATAGAATTCTTCCCACTAGTCCACAAGACCAATTGAATCTAATATTTTTCTCCTAAAACCTCAAAACAACAAACAGACTAAAATTATAGAACCCACATCCTACTTCGAGTGAAAACAGACAAAATGAACACACTTCAGTTAAGAACCTATCCCTGGCAACGAACTAAGTATGGAAACTGCCAGAATCACAATATGGCACAATTAGATCGAGAAATCGAGATAGACTATAAATGATTGAAAATTTCATCCGAAGTTACGAGGCATCCAAAGTCACCTGGTTGTACAGGTGCCATTCCATGTCAGGGTATGGGATTAACTAGTTTTTTTTTCGGAAGTATTTACTTGATGGTGGAGAATCGGTAACGGACCGGCGGTTACTTGAACCACCATACGGCGACGAGGAGTCCTCTCATACATAACTATCCCTGCATGGGATTTTGATTTATGTTTATTTTATTTACATTTTGCTTGAATTCCTAGAATCGTAATAATACTGTAATAGTGGTTTATGTGTATTTCAAATAACTAGATTAACTTGTAACTACAATTTTTGAGTCTTGTGTAGTTTCGTACCGTACCTAGCTTACTTCTAGTGGGCGTAGCATAACAATTTTTGCATATGTTATTAATCCTAACCCCCACCTGACTACGCCATCCAAAAATTATGTCACCACCACATCACAATCACGTACGATCGCATCAGGGCCGACGACAAAGAACTCACTAAAGGCGGCGATCTCTTTCATATTGGGATCGTTGCTACAAGAAAAATAGCTTGCTCGATTTGGGGTGCTTGTCTGCTTTCGGTTGCTTTTCTGCAGTTCGAAGGCTCTATTACGTCACTGTGACATAATTTTTGGATGGCATAGTCTGTGGGGGTTAGGATTGACACTTAAAAAATTTGTTATGCTACTCCCACTAGAAATATGCTAGGTATGAAACTACACGAGACCCCAATTTTAATTCTATAGATATTGCAAGATTAGGTTAATATTATTTCAAAAATAGAAATAGTTTTCAAATACATTGTTTTGATATAACTGCCCAATGAAGGATGAGGGGGATACTGGAATAATTTGCCAGTGACGAAAACCACTCTTATTTCTGTATTTATGGGAAGATGAGGTAAGATTAACCACAATAATCTGTATGTGTTTCCAAATGCTTGAAGGGGATAACAGGAGTATTTCTGAGAAGCTTGACTTCCCAACTTTTTGTTTTCAAAGTATAATGAAACATAGAGCTTCATTATATCAGGATTTCGAACCCTCTTTTGAGCAATGTGAAAAACACTATCTGTGAATACTTAACAAAATGTAAGTCTGTTATCACTGTATTTTTCGAATAGTGAGTCAACCCGTCAAAAAACGAGACCTATTTGTAGCATTAAAAAGTAGTTTTTCTCATATAACCCCTCAAAATAATGGTGCAGTAAAATTGTTTTTCTGTTGGTTAGTTGAGTACCAATATGCGCTCATATTGTTCATATTCTGAAGAATAAATCTGTACTTTAGCGCCAATAAAAAGGTAGCAGCAACCATTTTACTGGAATGTTTGTATCAGGTGGTTTGTTTAATCTCGAGAATGGCAGATCAAGGTCAACAGCAAGAGGGAGCTAATATTGTGAACATCCTAGGTGAGATTTCATTCAAGTTATTTCAGTATTATTCGATGTCTATAAATTTGAAAAAGAATACTGTGAAGAACCTTGCAACTTGTGCATGATAATTATTGGGAATATTGAACTGAATGGCGCGAAGTCCGATTTAAATTTACATAGTCCATCTTGCTCTGCAGGAACTTTATTAAAAACAGTATATTCCTTTAAATTTCTATTTCATTGGAAATTGTAGATTGAATAATAAAGGTTGACATAGTTTTAAAATATATTCCTGGTAGGAAACCTGATTTCGTAATATATATGAATATTTCTGATTCAAACAATAACCATCAATGAAACAGAGATTATAGTTTATTCTCCAGTAAATAAAGATTGATTTGAACTTTTTTCAGGCTCAAATATTCAAGAAGTTCATGCCGAAGTGATTCATGCTGATAATATTCAACAAGCTCTGGCAGAAGTAATTCACGCAGGCAATATTCAGCACTTCCATGTCCATTATGGTATGTTCATTTTCCTTTCTCAGGCAATTTGCTAACAACTATTTCATTTTGAGAGCAAATTGTTCGACTTTGTGACAGGACAGGAAAAACTAAGTGTTTGGTTAACATTTTATTATTTTAGGTTTCACAGTTTTAAAGCAGATGAAAGCCTTTTTGTAAGTTTGAGGCAGATTATTTTCAATTTTAATTTCACGGATGCTCCTAAAACTATCAACTAACTATTTATAGCTGCGCCACCTCCAGTAGCACAACAACCTCAAGTACAAGCTGATGCAGGGTTTGCTGGGAATATGCAAGAGGATATGCCGTCATCATCAGGTGAGAATCAAAGATTTTTTAATATAATTTAATCTGGTATGGGCAAATAATTTCAATCCCTTTGTGTTGCAAAGACTATAGCCGAGTTTAATTTGGTATCTATGCCCATGTCGTTATAATGTCCTCACAGCTAGCTTGTGCGAAGTGAAAAAAGCATGTCAGATCTATATCCAAAATTTTTGTGTTTGCAACTACTAGAAATAAGAGTGCAGTCCACTGTTTCATCCACTTACCGGTATTTGTATCTGGTCCTTCTGCATTGAAGGTTGCACACTCCTGCGCTAAGCAGCATATCTTAGATTTTATTGTTCGATATTGATGGGGTTCTAAAACTCTACACAATACAATTTGAGTCGATTTTGTAATCATGCGTAATCCATTACTGAAAAGAGCATATTTGGCATAAATCGGCATAGGTGAAAAAACGGAATATTATACAGTTTTGAAACCTAAACAGCATGTCTTACCTCCTTTGGCAAAGACTGTGTTATTTCAATTTTCCCTCGAAAAATAACACTTGGGCTTATTTTCGGGGGATGTCTTATATTCTCATTTATCAAAAACAAAATTTCAAAGTAGAAAAATACGAGATTTTCGAATATAGAAAAAACGGAAACCGATATCCATTCACACATAAATAATAGTTTTTATTCAAAATAACTGCAAAACGTAGATTATTGATCATTTAAAACGCGTAGGAGGAGAGATTATTGGTACCAAATAAAAAAAAAAAATCTTGTTATTGACTAGGTCAGGAGTGCTCAACCATGAGCCGCATTTCGTACTTTATTGCAGCGAAGAGCCACATTATAAACAAGAATGCACACAAACATCAGATATACCTTATTTAGCTCTGCTA